GATCGTTCAAAACAGCCGTAAGTCGGGAGGGAAAGGAGAGAACCCAGTTGTTAATGGTTGTTTGATTTATACAATTATTAAGTACAAATTTCAACCTCTGCTCCATTGATATATGTTTAGCTGGCTTCTCCCAGTTCCTCTTGATTAAAGCAAATAAATTTTCCTTTGGATTAAAGTCCGAAGAATTGGGAAAAATAAAAATGCTCCGCAGGCAGAAAGGCAGGTTGTCGTCTGAAAAAAATCAATTTTATTCTTAAGGGTAGTGATTATCATACCTCCTTTGATCGGTGAACAGGGCGTTATCTTGTAACATAACTGTGTCCATCCGACGTCTTTGAATGTTGTTGTATCCGAGGGCATCCTTTACTATACCCACGATGGTATGGCTATTTATGGTGCCTCTTGTTGACCGCCAAATCGGTCGCTCCCCGAACTTGATAGTCATCCAAACCATTAGACGACGGCAGTTCTTTAAAGTCGGCGTTGATGCTGTATATTTTTTGGAAAGTTCTGTCCGCATATTACCGTCTGCGTCGAGTTCGGCGGCTTGTCTAAAAGTAGGACTTCATCGCAGTAGTAAATACTCTGCCACTATGAAAGCCTACGACTAATATATTCCTTAGCACAGAGGAAACGTTCCTCGATTAGTTTGCTACTTAAATATGGCTTCATCGTTGCTCTCTGCTGACGAAGACCGCTTTCGTGCATTCTTTTTGTAATTATGTACCGAGAGAACATTGACAAATGTTCCCTTTGAATTGGCCTAACGGACATATAATGGTACCTTTTTACTATTCGACGAATAAAATCGTCATCTTTCTCCGTTGTAAACCGTTTTTGCCCATGAGTTTTACGTCTGGGCACTGTGCTATAGTTAATAATTCTGGAGATTGTGGTGCTATTAATATCGGACATATTAGCTAACGACTTACGCGACAGCCCTTCGGCTGCCACTTTTCGTATGCGTACGAAGTCAGCGTCAGACAGGAAATGGTTTGACATCTGAACACCACGACAGGATACAGAAAAATGAAAGCAAATCTCGGGTTCCCCTTATATATCAAGCTCACACTCATAGATATCTGTACGATTAAACAAATTTACCATGCAAATTTATAAAAATGGCTTTTATGGCGTAAAACTTCGCATATTAGCAAATAATAATTTTTACCACTCAACTCTGTCCTTGTTTCTGAAACTAAATGGGATTCCTTAAAGTTGGCTTCACTTCCATTTGATCAACTTCACACAAAATTTTCCAGTTCTGGAAGGGAGTATTATTCCACTTTTTTTTTTTACTTATTCTTGAATTCTTCCACAGCACAATGCATATTAGTAAAAACTTTT